AAAAAAAAAAAAAAAAAAAAAAAAAGAAAGGAAAAGAAAAAGGGAGTTTGAAAGTTATTGGGCTAGGTGTGGTGGCTCACGCCTATAATCCCAGCACTTTGGGAGGGTGAAGTGGGTAGGTCACCTGAGGTCAGGAGTTCGAAACCAGCCTGGCCTACATGGTGAAATCCCATCTCTACTAAAAATATAAAAAATCAGCCAGGCATGGAGGCGCACGCCTGTAGTCCCAGCTACTCAGGAGGCTGAGGCAGGAGAATTGCTTGAACTCAGGAGACAGAGGTTGCAGTGAGCTGAGATCACACCACTGCACTCCAGCCTGGGTGACGCAGAGAGAATGTCTCAACAATAACAAGTCAAACTGAGGGGAAATAAGCCCTCCAAAATAGAAGACAAAACTAATCAACCGGTCATCGTAAAGTCTCAGGGTCAAAAACAATGAAATAACAACCTGCTACCAAAAGAAAGACGTAAACAAGATGCCTGGGAGAGAGCGTATGGTAAATAAAAGGCCACAGCTTCACATCCTTATTGTTTCTTCAACAGATGCTGAGGCCTCCTTCATGCTGGGCCCTGTACTGGGAACGGCAAAATGCAGGACTTGGACGAAGGGGACAAAGACTGACCCAGGAGAGATGATATGACATCAAGGCCAGCAAACCCTCCAGGCCCAATGTGCCAGGGACACTAGCTGTGAAGCGGGAGTAAGAACAATGGGGCTGGGAACAAGGGGCCTCACTGCAATCCAGAACGGGCAGTGCAGAAGGGAGTTCGGGAACACGGGGAGATGCGGGATCCGAGTGTGCCAAGCAGAGGGGCAGGCAGCTGGTCCACTTAGAAAGCAGAGTGACTCAGGGGACAGAGAGAGGCAGGAGGTCAGGGAGCCAATGGGCCAGAACATGCAGGACTCTGGATTTCACTTCTTATTTGCTAAGGAGTCTGGAATTTATTCTGGCAGTGACAGGAAAGCCACTGGAAGATCTGAGGTTGGGAAGGGTTTCATCTACTTGTTTTAAAAAGACTGCTGGCTACTGCGTAAAGAAAACTGTGGCAGGGCAGGAGTGGCCACAGGGAGGCCATGGCAGCTGCTTTTGAAGGTCTCCTGCAAGCAGCAAATGGCAGGCTGGACTGGAGTGTGAGCAGCAGAGGCTGCGAGAAGGGGTCAGGTTACAGATGTAGTCCAAAGTCAGAGCACACAGATGTGGTGATGGTTGGATCAAAGGCAAGGCAGGTGAAGGGCCAGAATCTGGATCCCAAAGGGCCCCATGTGATTGCTAAAAAGATTGGACTCCAGCCTAGAGGGTAGGAATAAGGAAGCAGTAGTAAGAAAAAATATTTGCATTCTAGAAATACCCTGGTGGAAGCCAGGTGTGGTGGCTCACGGCTGTAATCCCAGCACTTTGGGAAGCTGAGGTGGGAAGATTACTTGAGCTCAGGAATTCAAGACCAGCCTGGCCAACACAATGGGACCTCAT